GTGTTGCGTAACTCTTTCCTTGTACAGTAAAAGCTCACCGAAGAACGCAAAATCGTATAATTCCTCCTTGAAAATCCGATAGTTGATGCCCAGTTGACGGTTGATAGTTTAAAAATTTTCTTGTTGTGAAGGTTTATGGAACATTTGGGGCTCCACTGCCGAACCACCGGGATTTTACCGAAGCCGTCCTCGAAACCCTAATCTTTATTCTCTGGCACTTGACCTTAGGCACTCGACGTCTCTGCCAATCTCAAAATCATAGACCAGATGTTGTCACGGTTAGCATTCAAACGGCTGATACAAACAATATTTTTTTCCGTTCCTTTTGTGTAATCTTTTTAATCTTGCAGTCGAAAGCGGAACCTTTCGCGGTTTATGGAAGGAATCGCAAATTCTACGCGTCTTCAAATATGACCGATCTACGTCTTTTGATAAATTTAGGCCGAAAAACATACGTTCTACACCCTCGACGAGCATTGTGTCCTGATTGTCCGTATGGCACTACCGGCTTTATTTTCCGAAATTTTAAAACAATCAACATGAGAACTAGTCTTTATAAAGTGCACGTTAAGCCTGAATTACTGCTTGTTTCTGTTGGGCCTTCTACGCGCTAGTGGACGGAAGAAAATGGAATCGGTTTAGCATCTCCTCAGAACACCGTAATCTGACTTGCCATCAACTATGTAGACTATAAAACCTTGATTTGTTGTGGGTTTACAGATTACAGAAGGAACTATTTTACTGTTGACACTTTTAAACAACCATACCTCTAACCTCCGTAGTAATCTGAGGCAGCTTGACCACTCTCAGCACACAAGTCACCGTAATATATTTTTATTGCTTCCCGTGATATGCTCAGTTATATGACGTCAGTTATCTTATCTAAATGTCATTTTAATCTGGAATAAACCACCAGGGAATATCAAATACAGTGATGTTATCCTTTGTTAATAGAAATTCTCACTAGTTTTCTTCTTTCAGGAGACCTTTTACGAATTGGAAATGCTGACCCGGCCGGATCACTCTTCGGCTTTGATGGCGTTCGCGGATTCCGCCCCCTATACCAGGCTTTGTCCTGAAGGTAATGATGTTGACTCTGACGTCCGCAACCAGGTAAGACTTCAGCTGCCAGCAAACAACCGCATCTTTATCTGATGCGCAATGCCGGTTCAATAACACTGATAGGAAGTGAAGAACACTGTACGCTTCTGCCAATCCTTCCTCACTCCGAATTACTACCATTCAACGAGCTGCAGTTTTTTCTTCTGAAAAAAAGTGGTTACTGATAAACACTATTTACACTTTCGAGGAGTTTTTCCTTCATTGCCAGCTCGAACCCCCTAATGTTAATTTTTTACATAGCCCGTAAAGTGGCAATAAAGACAATTACAATTAAGATTGAGATGTACGAAGCTAAAGGGAAACTGAATGACAAAACGACAGACATCAATAAAAAAACAAGCACAACATTTCACTCTCTACGAAACAGTACAGTAACAAATAATGTCAGGAAAAACTATTTTGTCCATTTTTGTTATAAATGACTATATGCAGGGTACACCACGCGTAGGCGCGGTAGGTGAGTGAAGTATGAATCGTTAGGGCAAGGGAAGGTTTACACTATGGTCGA